TCTCTCTCTCTCTCTCTCTCTCTCTCTCTCTCTCTTCCTCCTCTTTCCCTCTTTCTCTGCAAATCTCTCTCCCTCATTCCTCCACGCTTCATATATTCTCTCCACCTCTTTCCAACTATCATTTCCCATGTCTCGTCCCACTGGTTTCCTCTCTTTCTCCCTGTGTCGCTTTTCATGTTGATTCTGATCTTGACATAGTAGCCTGTCAAGCTTGATTAAAATTCATCAGCAGCCATGCATATATGTTGCGGCGAGCTGTGACTAAGTGCGTTAACAAACCCTTAAGACAAGAATAGACACACGAGAAGAAGAGACAAGAAGTACGGCGTTGTCTTGAATAACCGATTGCGTGTCACTGTCGTAAACCAATACTGCGCGAACGTGACTGAAGAAGATAGGCTGCTACCAATTATGCACTACAGTAAGTGACGATATACCAAGACAAGGCAAACGGAAAATGAACAATTGCCATAGCACACAGAACCCGAATGCGGCTATTATTTATTCAGTGCATGGCTGCAGTCAACATTTATGTAAATAACGTAGTAGCTGGCCAATTATTGCTATTGCTGCGCTAAAACAACGACTTTGGTAGTATAGAATAGGTTACAACATGGAGTGGACAGAAACTCCGGTCAATTAACGTTTTACTTTTGTTTATAACAATAATAGCGTTTAAATATCAAGGTATGAAATGCAGGATTGACAAACTTATTGTTTAATTTAAATAATGCTAAACATTTTGAATTCACATAGCATCATAACTTCACCTGATTCATCAATAGGCCTATTATAGCTGCGAAGTTCGAATGATGCATAAATCGTTGTTCAGATAGATAGGTCTGAATTGTTCTTCAATTGTTTTTAGTTTTGAAAATGCCAGCGTGATAAATTGTCCAGAAAATCGTGGATACGTCGTAGGTACTTTAAAAAATGTGTTATTAGCATATGTTCCATGAAGCGCGTCAAGGACGAAGCTGCGTGATTCGCATGCGCAGTGTGCAGCAACTAATCTAGCGAAATATATCAACCCATTATTGCATGTCTACTCCATTCAAATTTCTATATACTATCTACATCTTCATCAGATATTTATAAGGTTTTAGTCAACAGCGAAGTGACGAAGCGTTTGGAATGCGAGTGGATTACTATGCGCTACGTGTTATAAATATGCCGCCACCATGTGTGACAAATAGACATCAAGTCTACCGCTAGCGAAGTGTCAGAAATCATTCGTCACTCGGTGTTTCAGACGCGAGAACGCGTTTAACCATAACAACAGAAAAGGGAGATTAAGGTGTACGAAATGCAGGTTGGTCTTTTAAAATCTCGTCGTAACGAGGAAAATCGCCGGTAGCGTTTTAACAACAAACACATGCACGAGTATTGTGGAGTCAGCGCAAGTGAGTGTGTCAGCGCAGTCACACACAGTTTCAAACGCACGCTCTTAAAATTGCAGAAATTGTGCACGAGATGTAAAGAATAACAGAGAGCTAAATTTGTCCCAGTAAAACGAGCAAGAAACGTAAGATTACAGCGAAGCCACGATATCGCGAGCTCGCACGGTAGGTGTCTAATTGCTTGCGTGATTTTACTTAAGCATTTATTAATTAAAGACGCAGCTGCGTCCGTACCTTTCAACCTGCCGTGTTCCAACGAGAATCATTATTGTTACAAGTTCTGGAGGGTTTGCGAGGTTTCAAGCTCAAAAACCGTTGTTTACCGTTAAATTCACGACGCCTCAAGCTCGAAAATTCTGTTAGATTTCATATATATAGTCACACGCATTATTTCCGAAAACTCTATTAGATCTCATGTCACTACGTGTACAAATATATGTGTATACACGTGATTCAACATTTAGTAATTAAAGCTGCGTCCGTTAATTAAACCTTACAATCTGCCGTGTTTAAATGAAAAACATGATTGCTACAGTTTTTGCGAGGTTTCAAGGTCGAACATTCTGTTAGATTTCATGAAAAAAAGTTTTGAACATGCTACAAACAGAAAGAATTTTAGCGGATTTTAACACGATTCAGGTACAGGAACTGCGTTATTGTTTACCATGTGCGCGTTTACAAGTTATTAGAGCTAGCGGCGCAAAAAGCGGTCGACCTACGTGACGTTACAACAACGCGAAAAAAATAACAAGCAATGACGACAACAACATGCAGGAAGCAACAAACAAACACGTACAGTAGCAAAAATCCGGATGCCAGAAATCCGGACCACCCGAGACTCCGGACTTTTTCAAAAACTCAAATTTGACTCTCTGTTTCATAAACTAAAATAACTTCCGCTTTCATTTGTTTCTGTATTTTTCTTTTACAATATTCTTTTTTTTAAACACGATTTCAAGCTTTACACGCTCTTTTTTGTAGCGAAAGATTTTTGTTTACATTTTTGTTAAGTGTTGACTTTATTTTACTTAAAAACTGCTCGTTTTGATAAATGAAGCATGCTGTATTTGCTAATGAATGAACTATTAACTAAAATTTACCTGTTCATTTCTTCTTTATTCTTCCTTAAATTTGAATTTTAAAAGTACTGCCCGAGAATCCGGAATATTAGAAAATCCGGACGACCCAATCCCCGAGCAGTCCGGAT